CCATCATCTCAAGTAAATTATTGTAAGTTAAGTGCATCAATCTGCAATTGATTGCTAATAGACTTAGATCTTGTAATAATAAATCATAAAATTATAAATTAATCTCGTGACGAGATTGACTACCCGCTATCCTTGTATAGCTTTTGATTAGGTATAAGGAATTGTTCAAAAGTATAAATAATCAGTGTTGGCAAACGCCCATGAAATCTGCCAGTAGCAGAAGCTGAAGATTAATACTGAACGTGTTTCCGTAAATAAAAGGCGTAAATTGGATTGAAACAAGCATTTATTAGAAAATGTAGTGTAATGTAGTGACGGTTGGAATTTTGATTTGAAAGTGATAAGTTGTAAATCGAGTGCAATGAGAACTAGTCAGCAAAAAATTTTATCATGAGCTTGATGAAAATCAATCAATATGTAATAACGTGATCATAACAGTAACGTAATATAGTTACACAGTTATTGAAGTTATAAATTCACATTTAAACTGTCTTAATTCAAACTTGGAATTTGATATAAATTTGATCCGTCACAGAACAAAAAAGAATCAATCAATGAGTAATCACAACACCATTATAACAGTAAATTGACGTAATTTATACAATAATTAAATTTAATAAGATAACCTCCCACGAGAAATTATTTTTAACTTGTTAGCAGACTTGCATTACATGCTGTAGATATAATTAGTTGTCACTGTCTACGGAAAAGCTAGACTTTAATCAAAATCAATGGAAAAACACTTTTGTCTTCCTATTCTAAACAATAAAGTTTCTCAAGGTTGGCTGGTTCCCGAGAAAAAGCCTCAAATATGTAACATTGTAAAGATTAACGTAATACATAAATATTTGCTCATGGAGCTTATGAATAATCAAACAGAATGAAAAACTGACCTTAATAACATTCCGCCTCAAGGAGCAGTTAAAAGTCGCGATGATATAACAAGAGAGAAAATGTTGCGATTTCATATAATTTCAGCTTGTGTCAGTCTAATGCCACCCTGTTGTATCATTATTTACTCGAAGAATCCAAAAACTGGGAGTAATGGCTACGAGTTTGTTACCACATAGCTGAGAGAAAGAATTATCTCTCATCAGTTAGTCAAGCAATCAACCCCAAATCAATTTATTTTATCTCGTGTTTATCAATAGTTTTAACTCGGGGTTGATGTGTTTTGAATGTAATTTTGACCTTTGATACTCATGAAATTTTCAGCTTTGCACTGCGGTGAAACGATATCATAAAATTGTATTTTTAGCTCCTACTCTCTTTCGATTCACTTAAATATTTAATTTGTACGTTCACTTCACATGTATACGCTGTTCCATAGGAGAAAATCATTAGACATAAACTGATATAAAAAAATGGAAAAAACCGCATTTTTTATGACTTTTACATTTTGACAACTATAATTTAAAACGCATTTATAAAATTTGCTTAAATTCTTAATTAAATGTTTTTTTTTTATTTTTGTGTGGTGTACCTATTTAAAGCTTTTAAATACAAATAAAATGGCGAAGAAAAAATATGGAACCAAGAAGTAAACTTGCACATTACTTGCTTTCAGAAAAAATAATTCGTCAAAAAGAAACTGCTATGAAAATATGTTTAATCAAATTTTTTAATTTTTTTTTGTTTTTGTGTTCTTTCTTCAAAGCTTTTTCTGTTAAAGTACAAAATAAAACATTTTTTTAGTTTTTCCAAAAAGTAAAAAGGTTTTTAAGCAAAAACGTCAAAAGCATCTTAATTTTCTCAAAACAAGCTTGATGAAAGCGGTATTGAAGGAAGGAATATATTTCCAACTAGAACGTCATATAAAACTAGTAGATTTTAAAATTCTCCAACAACAAAGAGAAAAACACAATTTTCTATAAATAAAAAACGTCGTCTTCTACAATGCTTTAAAAAGAATGTTGTACATGCAAATACAGTACACGTAACCATGGCAAACATACCTTTTCATAGTTATGCTAACAATCAGAAATAGTTTCTATTCTTGGAAATAGTCGACAATACTTTGTATTTTATTTTGATTATTTGTATTCTCTGTGCTTTTGCTCCCACTGTAAAGCTTTTATGTTTCTGACATTTGGACAGAGTTGTCGCAATCTCCTTTGCTATGACCCTCAATCATATTATCATTGTAGTCGTTTCCTTATGTTTAGTCAAGGAACTATGATTAAATCACTTGTAACAACCAGATTATTTTTCGAGTAAAATAGGAAAACGCGACGGTAAATATACCTCTTCCGGAATTTCAAAAAGTTTGATATAAGTATGCATAAAACGAAACTTTTGTGGTTAATTGTTTCGTGAAGGATTTATAAATTTTACGATTCTCACAACCGCAACTTCTAAAATTAACTTTCTTCAAATAGAAAAACCGACATGCAACAAAAGTGTTTACTAAAACAAAATGTTTTTGTAGTGTAACTAGAGACTCATTAGTTTGGAAAAAAAACAAATACTACAACATTATTCTTATAAACCAAATTGTAAATGATGCATGTTTGTTTTAATTAACCATACATCATGAAACGCACAGAAGCTAATAATATTATCGGACAATATGTGCATATGAAGGTATAAATTATTAATAATTATAATTATAATATTATGTAAATATTTATCTGAATAATCCGTGATGGTTCATTTCAAAACATAAATATTCCAGTTTCATGTACCCTAAATAATTTTGCTTATATTTTCATTCGCAAAATCACTAAAATAATGAAATAAAAACAACAATACGTATTAATAATATTATTTTCGTTACTTACATACTCACTTTACTTAATTGTTAAAAACATCGGTTTAAGCAAGAAGAAAAACAGTTTTGTTTTTTAGTATAAAAACTAGAAACGGTGGCCAAATCCTATTAAATTCAAAAATGTTTTGTCGAAATTTTGTAGAACTCACACTATCTGATTCGCAAATAATGGTAACCCAGTAGGCGAATTTTCATTACCCCATTTTTTTCAATTAATATCTACCAAAAGAATGTACGTGAGCGACAAAATTATGGAAAAAGCTTATTTATTAAAACTGAAAATATTTTGTTTTGATCAAATATGCTCGAACAGATAATTTTTCTTTTTAAAAAATACAAAATTCTCAACTTAATTTAAAATTGTATATTTTTTGTTGACATTATTTCATTTTTTTTGGTAATTTTTTTAGAAAATTTTATGTAATATTTAGATATTATTTTAGTGTTGCCATTTCAACAAATAAAAAATCTATCGAATTGGCTAAAAAAATTAGGGACTTCCATTTAAAAAAATGTCGATGACGTCATTACTCAAAAACCAAAAAATGTAAAATTTTAAATCAAGTTAAAAATCGTGTATTTTTTAAAACGAAAATTGACCTGTTCGAACATTTTTGCCAAAACAAAATAATTTTACTTTTAATAAATTATTCCATAATTTTGCCGCTCACTGTATTTTAAAATAGTCGAGGTTACAACTAACAGAGTAATCAATGAATTTGCAAACGAATTAGCCATGTAAGGTAAGATACTAGGAACATGGAAAAAATGTTAAAAAAAATTATCTATAAAAATGTCGAAATTATGAGTTTAAATTTTGCACTTGTGACTCTATTTATTTCTGTTGGAAAAATACTTTTCCAATTTTTTTTTATACAAACTATTAGAAGAGTAAACAAGGAAGCTGTATCATAAATTGTATCTTTGTTTAATGTTATCTTTGGTTTTTATTAGCAAAATTTCTGTACCTTTACTAAATAATTATAGAAAATCATATACAAGATCACCAGTATCATTAAATAGACATAAAAAAATGTGAAATGTCAAGAAATAAATGGCAAAATTTTTTGACAGATAGAATTTTTTAAACATGCTTGAAAATTTTCTCTGGGACGCGAGTTCTGGCGCACCTGTATTTGGGTTTGTCTATATTTAAAACTGGTCAGGTCAGGTCATTTTTTATTTTTTAATATTCGTCGCCCACAATTTATGTGTATAAAAATTTAAAAAGCAGTTTTGTCTGAGCTTTCCTACTTCTTCTTGGAGTTTTATTCTCACCTGAGGATGACCACTTTGTGGTTGAAACGCGTTGTGTTTTAAATAAAAGTTTGATGTGACGGGCTTAATCGTGTTTTTGTTCATGAGCTTTCCTAAATAAATAAATTTTCTGCTACCATACTTCTTGTTGTTGGTATATTCTAGTAACTTATTTAGGAATTTTTTGAAACTCCAAACTTGGATGAAAATTACATACATAATTCAAAACATTTAATATATTCTGGCAAAATTATTCTCATAAAGATAACTTATCACTTTAGTCTAAATTAAGTGACCTACATAAAGATACATAATAAAATTATTAGTGAACATCTAAAAATATTAGACTATAAATAAACGCATCAGTACGCAAAAGGTTCGTATCCAAATTGAATTTTTATCCGCTTGAATGAGTAAAACAATGTAAAAATTAATATACGCCATTTTATATACACATAATAATGTCCATTTTTTCGACTACCCCTTCAAAATGTAATAATGATTTATAACTCTTATTAAATTTGAATAAAGTAAGGTCTTAAATTTGAACCACATTTTTTTCAAACAGATATAATGTAAAAAAAAACAAAATATGTAGGTGCATACACACTTTATCAATATCTTGTTTTGCGACTTTCACATTTTTAGACCGTCTAGTCTGTTGGTTTGGAAAATCTGCTTAAAGACAAAATTTTGAAAAGAAAAAAATTCTTGCGTTAAAAGGTCGAATTATGTGAATAATTAACCAAATAAAGACACTTAAAGTCAGAGTGACTCAACAAAGTTAGTTATTTCATTAAAGAAATGCTCACGTTGTAATAAATGTTGATGACAACCAAAACATAGAGCCCGCATGGTGAGTTAGAGCAGTTTAATGAATGAAGAAGAGTTTTTGATGAAAAAAATCGTCCGAGTGCGTGTATCGAAACTCACGTGTTCGTAGAGCAACAGAGTGGGTAACGAGGTTAAATACCTGGTACGGAGAAGAGTACGAAGGCGCAGAAGGGTATGAAGACGACAAAAGCGAGCACCAAGAAGCAGTTGCGACGTCGTAGAGGGGACATGGCGAAGTTAACCACTGCCATGTCCCACTGTCACACACACAGCGGCCCTCTCATTACCAGAGGAGCCCTCAGGAGTAATTGTTTTGATCGCGCGAAGAAAAGCAATGGAAATACCGGCTCCTAGCACTTGGAGGAGTTGACAACCGACTATACAGTGAGTGACTAAATTTCTACGGCATAGCAGACCGTACTTATGTAAGGCCGTCTACATGAACACGCGGTCGCGAATGGTGGCGAGCAACTCCGAACCGCGCCTTCTAGTCGCGCGCATATATTGATCTGTTGGGGTTTCCACGACGGAGATGCTCGCCGGCGGAGGTGTCAACGGGCCAACGGCGATGGATTCATAAATTAATTGACGTTTTTATTATGGGGCGACACGACGATTCAGCCGTGAGAAATTGACTCAAAGAGAGTTTAGCATGTTCGAAGAGTGGAAGCGGTGCTGTCACAGCTTTGCTTCGAGATGAATTCGGAACGTGATGACAGTAATCACCTGTTAAAGGGGCAATTTTATCTTTTTGGTGATGTCTTCTGACAAAGGAGTAATTGCTTTCATTCGAAACAAGAGGAGGACCTGCCAAAATGCTGATGGGTATTGACGGACACAAAAATTTTGAACGAGCAGTGTACTTTGATTAGGGTTTAGATGGTCACCAATAAAATTTTAAAATAAGAAAAAAAATTATACAGGTGTCCCAGCGAGTTGAAAAAGTCCCTTAGTGACCTTTAAATGCTGAAATAAAAAAATTATAGGACATTGATAGACTCTAATCTAGTCCATCGCCTAAAATTATTTTCAACTATACAACGTGTCTCAAAAATAGGTTACAATACAAACTTGTATTTTTTTAAATGAAACACCATATGTTTCTTAGCTTTTTTGGATGTAGATTTTTATGATAGTGTTTTTAAGCTAAACTTTTATTGGTCGATTTTGCTTAGTTTTAAAATAAGTCGTTTTTTTTGCCGAAAACATGCACTTTTTAAAAATTTATTTCACAAAAACTAAGACATCTAGAAATATTTTTTTGACTACCGCGAAGAAGAAGGTATATGGTATGTGTTGCATTTGCAAAGATAAAAAAATGAAGATGTTTGTTAAAAGTTCAATAACTTAAAAAAATTAAATGGAACATCCTATTTATTGTTTTTGCATTTAAAAGATTATTCAATTGTATTTCGAAAATTATTTACTTTTAGGTGTTTATAATCAATAACTGAACAGATATTTAACGTTAAACATTAAAAAAAAATTATTACTATTGTTTCAGTAGCCAAAAAGTGCACAGTTGCACAAGAGATGGAAGAAATATCACTTAATAATCACATTTGTGTTAAACGGAATCCATTATTCTTTATTTTTACAATAAAATAATTCAAATTTCAGTATTTTTAACGACTTTTACAATCTCTGGATAAATCAACATTCAATATTAATTGTTGCTACAATTAATATTGAATGTTAAATATCTTTTCATTTATCAATTCTAGACATTAAAAGTTATTTTTTTTAGATAGACAATTCATCAATCTATTAGATGCAAAAATAAAAAATAGGGTGTTCCATTTAAATTTTTTAAATTATTTAACTTTTAACAAACTTCTTAATTTATTAATCTTTACAAATGCAAAACACCAAAAAATTGCTACAGCTTTAAATTCTGTACTTTCTTTTTGCAGAAATAAGAAAAAAATGGTTCCTGCTGTCTTAGTTTTTGAGTAATAAATTTTCAAAAAGTGCATGTTTTCGTGAAAAAAACGTCTTATTTCTAAAATTAAGCAAAATCGACTAATAAAAGTTTAGCGTAATAACATTGTTTTTAAAGGCTACATCCAAAAATGCAAAGAAACATACGGTGTTTCATTTAAAAAAACACAAGTTTGTATCGTAACTTAGTTATGGGACATGCTGTATGGTTGAAAATAATTTTAGGTGATGCACTAGATTAGTATCTATCAATGTCCTATACAATTTTTTTAAATTTTACCATTTAAAGAATCAACCTAAATCAAAGTATTTCAACCAAATACTGGCTCTAATAACAGTTTTCTTCGAAAATAAAGCATTTTGAGCTATTTTCAATCCAATTTTGCTCGATTTTAACACAGAATCAATTCAAAACTAATATATTTTATAAGTATAATTGCTTCAATCTTAATTTTAGGCTGAAATAAAGCAATTTGAATAGCAATATTTTGAATCGATTTGGCTCAATTTTGAGCTGGGAATCAACCTAAATCAAAGTATTTCAACCAAATACTGGCTCTAATAAGAGTTTTCTTCTAAAATAAAGCAATTTAATAATATACTTTTCAACTCGCTGGGACACCCTGTATGTGTTTACTACGGAAAACTAAAAAATATTAGGAGGCAAAACGAGATTCAAAATAGCTCGATATTCTAAAAATATAATACGCAGAGTAACAATGAGGACATCAATATTGTGTCTTTAGACAATAGGTAGTGATGTTTGTCCTCAGGTATTCGATTATAACGCCTTCAAAGAGCAAACAGGCACACAAAATTTAAAAAGTCAAAATTTTGACGACATAAAAACAACAAGTTTTTAACAAAATTTCTAGGCTCAAAAACAAAATTTGTGACTATGAAGATAAGCTGCTTCCAGTTTATATTCACCGAAATTTTGACTTGTGATTTTCATAAAAAAAACAGACTTTGCATTGTTGTTCTTCACTGACATCTATTCAACGTTGCATCTAGTTAAGCCAATTTTAAAGCATTCACGCCAACATTTTTTATCAATGTCATTTTCTCTGTGTAAATACCATGAATAAGCTTCTTCATAACACAAAAATGACTTCAACGCAATTTTTCTTAGCCCTCTGAAAAAAAAAACACAATTTTACAAGCATTTTTTAGCACCGTCTGTATCTATATATGTGCATTATATGGCAGCCAACGATAAGCAGTCTTTCTCAGACCAAGTTTTTCGTGAAAAATATAATGTTTAAGGTTGTCTGTTCTTCGTGGTAATTATAAGTTATTCTATTTTTTCAAAGCATTCCAATTTTTTAGTAACGGCTGAGAGCGGTCTCCCACTTCTTTTGTCATTCTACGATGAAACTTTAATTTGGCGAATACAGTGGTCAGAGATGAAGTTTTTTGTCAGATAGCTTTTTTAATCACTCCGTACATCGTTCTCAATTAAAGTGCTCATACGAAAACTTTGTAACTTGTTGGCAAAGAGAATTTTTCACACATTATAGATCATTTTTTCCCACCTTTAAATTGTGAATCTTAGTTTAAATGAGGATAGAGTATACTGTAACGTTTTACCTCAGAAAGTTCTTTATTATAAGGAACACTTACTGTAGAAAACGATTAAAAACAACCTTTTTAAAAATTCTAGAGTGATAACTACAAATAATGCAATTCTGCTAACAGAAAATAAGCAAAATAATCGTATTCAGTCAGAAGCAACATCTGACTGCAATTTACGCATTTCATGATTTAGATTACATAAGTGCTGAACATATCATTTTTCCAACATATTTTGACTCAAGTTTTAAAAAGAAAAACAACAAAATCTCAGAAAAATGTATTAATAAAGTGTATTGAAACCCTGGGTACCTACTTATGTATTGGGATTTAATTAAATTTACGTTCTAACTAACTATCGTAGTCTCAATATTATTTTACATGTGTAATATGAACTAGGAATGATTGCAAAAAGACGGTCAGCGCTTGATTTTAAAGAATTTTAATGCGAACTTCTTGAGTTTCTCTATGCAAAGCATTACAAAAATTCGAGTTCGAGTGTCGATCAAAAAAAAAACTGGATTACAGGTGAACGCAGTCTTTTAATAAGAATAACTTAAATACAGATCAGTTCTATAAAAAAATACAGTTAACCTTTGTGAGTATTTATTTCTAACTTTCTAATTAAAGTAATGTATGATATAAACAAACAGGAATATTTATTTAGATTCCTTCTCCTGGTTATAAATACTGTGAACTCCTACAAAAATAAATATATCCAGTCAAGTTTCGTAATTAATTACTTACTCTAAAACAAATACCTTGCTCCTCGGGACTAAACTTTGAATGATACGAAGAAGAAGACGATGGCCGTGACGGATAATTATAACTTTCAGAAGCATTCGGTTCCAAATGTAATTCAGAACTACTTGCACGTCTGTCATCTACTTCTGAAATATGCGATATTGCACGTAGAATCATCCGTTTCAGTTCATTTTGATTTTCTCGCGATCGCAAATTTCTTAGTTCGGAAACTACGAGATCTCCAAAGATTTGAAACTCATCGACTGCTAAATTTGATAATCTTGTGGATTTATCTGGTATATAAGCTTCTCGAGATTCCTTGATATCACATGGTCTTTTCAGATTTGTCGCTGTTTTCTCAAGTGTTGATTTCTCATTCACATTTTCAAATACATCCTGAGATTGACTGTCATCCTTGCACAAAACAAAATTTCGGAACAATTATTACATATTATTTCAATGAAATAATTACCATTTCTATTGATTTGGAGTAGAAATAATCACCGCGTATAAAACCCATCACATTAAAAAACTCCCATGAACTTTGAAACGTCCCATTGGCGTCCGGTGCGTCGCTTTGTTTCCTTGCTATTTTCCTGAGTTCTTGGTGAAACTGCGTCCGCAAGTTGTGTAATTTTCTGTTGATTTCAATTTCGTCGGTATTAAACCTTACTGCTAAGTCTGCTAATAACTTCTGTTTCTTAATTTTATTTCTAAAGTCTCTATGTTTTACATCCCACAATTCCGGCCGTGCTTCCCACTGTGAGATTAATGAAAAAATTTCTTTTCGGGTCCACGTTTTCTTCTCTGCCATTGCTCTCAATTGCAACTTCCTCTGCGTTGCGTCTAGAGTCAGTTAATAACACAAACCACTCGAACTACATGCCTATGTAAATGAAACACGTGCGACGTATGCACATATTCAACAACTCGACTGCTTTCTGAGAAGAGCTCTCGCAAGTTTATCGTGTCGATATGCTCTCAAACAGGGTCACGCAAGCGCAGATTCTATCTCTCGCAATAAGTGTAGACACTAAACTAACGACCTTCAGAGAGGAACTCACAAGTGGAACATTCCTGAGCAAAAACTACCATGTTTTGTTGGCTTTTGAACAATTTCATACTGACTGATTCATTTGGCAATAAGCCTGTTAAAATGAAGTATAGGATAATTTAAAAAATCACATTACAATTGCTACTGTTAGATTTATATATTTTCATTATTTTGTGTCATACAATATACGTATTACTTTGAAAGTACAAATGGAGTTTACAATACTTTCTACTAAATTTCTGATCAGTGGTCTGTGACTTTAGAATTAAGTTGGCAACATTGACTATGTGTGATTAATAAATGTCACTTTTGTCTTGTCTTGTTTTACATTTATGTCCTGATTTGTCTCGATTTAAGGACCAACACACCTAAGCGTGCAATTTTTACTTTCCTTATCCTATAAGCAAGGGGGACGTAGCACGAAACACAAAATCGGTCGCACCGTTCGGCCGCAGCGACCAAAAATCAAAATTATACGGTTGAAGATACTATAAATAAATTCATGGGAATAAAAATTATTTAGAATTATGAAATATACCTTATTAAACAGTAAAATGTGATAAAATAAAAATAATAATGGGTACCGAACTAAAAAAATCTCACCTCAGATTCGAACCCGCGGCAACTATGATCTATTTCGTGTGTAATCCGGCAGGTGGCACTAACGCAAACGTTAGGTTTGCTACTCGGATTTCCAACACCGTAAAGATGTTTTCCAAATAAGTTGGATAAGGAAAGTCGTGTGATGTTCACACCAGATTTTTTGAGATTTTTATTTGTCGTTAATTTTGATTTTGAATTGTCTGAACTTGATCACCTTATGTCAGATTTCAGATTTGTGTTATTATTATTGTGTTGCATCTTGCATTATTTACCACATCTTCCTTTATAGACCTTGTGTGCTTCTAAGCCATATTCTTCACTTTATTACTTAATATCGCAAAAACTATGCATCGCAGAGTATTTTAACCTGTTGCATCGTGTTCAGCGGGTAATTTTACGTCAAAAAAACATACTTCTAGCGTTCTTAAACTCAAAAAATTCGTAAGTTTTTAAACTTGACCCAATAACGTTTTGTAAAAAAATAAAAATGTGTATTTAAAAGAAAAAAATGTTCTAATTAAACTCCCTTGACATTGTAATTTAATAAAAGCTTTGATGTTTTATAAATGAAATAATTTGCAAACTGAACAAGTTTGTTTTGGTTAATTGAAATACTGACACATTTTTATAGGTACTGTAAAGGAACTCAATTTGGAGCGTTCTAGGATTATATTGATTTTGTCTTGTCGCTTGTCATTGTTCATAATTAACGACTGTTGGAAAAGTTCATGGAAGTTCTGCTGTTTCCACTAATTTTTGGATAAAACTTAAATCCTTATAGTCGCAGGTCTGAATCCGGTCGTTATTCTTTTCTTCATTTCTTACTCGCAAAGACTTTAAAAGAAATCAAACTGGCTTTAACGAGCATTTTCCACATAATTAGCAAACAAACGACAAATTGCTCAATCAGCAAACAAGCTAATTTACTAATGAAATTATAGATCAATGAAAAAGTGTTTTTTAATTAATTCTCTTCAAATACATCTTGTTTGTATTTAATTGGGTGTTAACCTGAAGCAAATAAAGTTTATTATATTATCAGCATCATTCAATTCGAATCCATTTAACCACCTGCGGTTTTACTGCAGATCAGTAAAATACAAACCTACACTGCAGGGAAATAAAGTTAAAGTGTTATTACAAGTCGTTCTTAAATTATCGGAAAAACTGATAAATCTCTCATACAAGAAGAAACTTTCCAACAACGTCCATCATCAATACCTAACATTGTAATTTTTTTCGGTAAAAAGCTTGTTTCTTGTGTAAATTGTAGTCTTTATCCATGCCGATAATAATTAGGTTACGAATAGTTATTTCAAATCAGACGTCAGACCTACAGGGAAGACAAGTTGTCAGTTCAAACATCTCTAACCCTGTTATAATTTGTAAACTGCTTATGCGATAAGATTTCCTAGCATTTGAAGCTTATCATCTAGAATTAATCTTAGCAATGAATTTATCCCTTTGATGTGCTGTCTGTTTATACATGTAATCAGCTTTAATAATAATGTTCAGTAAGTGAATTTCTACTTAATGCCGATTGCCAGTTCCGGTTATCCTAAAATCCAAATCCAATATCCATCTAGCTCTGTCATTGATTACCACACGAGAAAACTTCTTGATATCAAACTAAAGTGTTTCAGTGTTTCACAATATAACCCTGCTTCAAAAATTCAGATACATAAATCAATAAGCCAATGTCGAACATGATAATATACAGGCTGTTCCGTCTAAACCCCACATTAAAAGTATTGTTCGAATAATCATATTTGTTTGAAAATTGGTATATAGCCATAATGCATTAAATCCTCCTAAATGAAAATATTTTCAAGATGGCGGCAAATCCGGTTATACCGGAAGTCGGTCTCAACTTTCATATTTTACATGGAAAGGTATATTTTTTACTGCGTTTTTGGATTAATCGGGTTATTTTAAGGAAGTTTTCATCAGCTTTCCCTATACCCAAATTTAGCCGTTTTTGAAATATTTGGAGTTTTTCAAAAAAATTTGGATCTGCACCTTCCACTTTAAAAATCGCTCTGCTATTTTTTAAGATTTTGAATTCGATTTTTTGGCGTTTGAAAGAGAAAGTTTAGATCTTTCTTCCGGTGTTTTCAAATTTTGAAAAAAAAATAACAAACCCTAAAATTTTAAGTTACATTTGTAATAATTCAAATAGCCATAACTCAATTTTTCCAAATGAAATACCCCAATTTCCCTATACCTAAATTTAATAATTTTTAAGTTATGGTGACTTTTTGTTAAGACTGTCGAAAATCTATTAAGTTTTCGTATAGTTTGCTATGGAAATCAGAAATGTCAAAATTGTTTCTCAATAAACGTCGACAGTGACTTATTATTTGACAAATAGTGCCAAAATATGGAGAGTCAAAGCTACTCAAAGTTAGATTTAATTAATTTATTTCGTATTTATGGAGAGTGTAACAAAATTATGATGTCGTTCATTAAACAAAAATAAATTTTTCTCACTTGTTAGCTTTAAATAATGATCGCATGGTAGAACCTATCAATAATAATTAAGTTTGAATAACTATGATTCTTCATATTATTTTGGCACGATTTGTCAAATAGTAATTTACTGTTGACGTTTGTTTAGAGAAAATTTTGACATTTTTGATTTCCATAGCAAACTATGTGTAAACGGGTGTGGTTAGTAATAATTTTTCTGTAGTCTTAACAAAAAGTCCATAACTTGAAAAATATTAAATTTAGGTATAGAACATGTTAATAGAGATCAATGCACAATTAAATTCTCTTCTATTTAGTAAAATAAAAATTGGGGTATTTCAGTTGACAAAATTGAGTTATGAGTAAGTATTTGAATTATTACAAATTTTGGAATTTGTTTTTTTTTTCAAAATTTGAAAACACCAAAAAAAGGATCTAAGCTTTCTCTTTCAAACGCCAAAAAAACCAATTCAAAATTTTAAAAAATAGCAGAGTTACCGATTTTTAGTGTAAGGTGCAGATCCAAAAATTTTTGAAAAACTTCAAATATTTAAAAAATGACTAAATTTAAGTATAGGAACTCTCTTAAAATAACCCGATTAATCCAAAAACGCAGTAAAAAATAAAAAATAAGAAAGTTGAGACAGACTTCCGGTATAAGCGGAAGTGCCACCATCTTGAAAATATTTTCATTTAGGAGGACTTAATGGTTTATAGCTGTGTACCAATTTTCAAATAAATACGATTATTCCAACTTTCAATACTTCTAATGTGAGGTTTAGACGGAATACTCTGTATTTCTTGCCGATTCTTTGTTTTAACAGGGACTCGCCACAGTGAAGTAATACTGTAATATAATATAATTATGCCCTGTTTGTTAATAATGTTTTAAGGCTATGTAATTCAACACGCCGCACATTGATTTTGTACAGAATATTTACCTAATATTGTTTTCTGGATGTTAGGAAGTCGATATGATTTATTTTTTAAAAAGCAATTCTAACAGCGTTAATTGTGTATGAATTAAATATGTGCATACAAACCTTGTTTACTTACATGGTGTCTATAATTCAACACTTGAAATTAAAACCTACTACAGTAGATAGGTATAAACATTATAAATAATACAAAAACGAAAACACACACCTGCTAGTTTAAAGTACGAACAAGCAAAGCGTAAAAGAACTGCATATGTGCAAATGCAGGAAAACTCTTTATACCAGGGTGTTATACAAGATTTTTTTTGGATAAATTACTACTGCCAGAATAAAGATTTTCGAAGAAAACACTGCACTAAAGATTTTTCGTTATGCAATTTATTGTATTTTAAAAATGCAATACAAAAAGATATACTAGCTAAAAAATAATATACACGTGTAAAATGATTTTACTTGTCCTACAAACTTTGTTCCACAAAGAAGTCTGTTGCGTTGTAAAATCCTACATTACACTACTCTATTGTAAATAATTATTTTAACCTAGTTTCTTTTCACTTTTTTATATAGAAGTAAGAAATAAAAGCAAGAGTAAGTTACCACAATGAAAGTCGAGGATAAGAGTAATAAAATCTATCCACAAACGACACAGAAGTGACTACTTTTATGACAAAATGTTACAAGTAAAAGTTTTACCTTTCTGCTATTCAGTAAAAATTATATTTTTGCGCCTAAGCGTTTCTACTTTAATAACATGACATTATTGACATTTACCAATGTTGTTTCTTTCTTGTTTTTTTTTTTCGCTGCTTTAACAATTTCTGAAGATTGTAGATCATCAGCATTCGATATTTTAAACTACTAACTAAAATTAATAAAATCTTTCGAAAATCTCAACACAAATTCCGATACTGACGCGTGATGTTTGGAAGCATCGTTATGATTTCATTACTTGCAAAGCATACAGATTATTTGGATCATTTACTTGCTAATTAGATGATGTTCTTTTTTTCTCTCTGAATACGTTTGCGTTTGCGGATAAAATAGTAGGTATATGATATTTAGAGAAAAAGTGAGTTTATATAGGTTGAATTAACGTTAAGCTTCGCCACATAAACTATCACTTTTACTCCTAATAACATAATATACTGTTTTCGTTTTATTACGAATAGCCAATTATTATGACTATAAATGTTCCTACTTTAGACAGAATTAATTGTACGACAACCAATTACAAAATAAAGCTGATAATTTAAATACAAAAACTGCGCATATTTGCAGTCATTTATGGCAATGGGTATCAAAAATGTAATTACTTGTAATGAAAAATTTAGTTGCTAATGTTTAAAACTTGCATCAATTTTCTAGCAAAATTATATTATTTTTAAATTTATCTTTTGTTGTTTATTTTAACATAAACAAAATGAAAATAGTTACAAACTGCTAGGAGTACTGTAATTAAGAACACGCATTCTATACAAACAACTTCTGAACGACTTACTCTCGGTTAATACACGATAAAATTTGCATTACATTTTGTAAGCTCATTCAACATAATTTTTGTGAGTTTAAATAAATTAGTTATGTTACTTAGAGGTCACATCACGCATATATTAGAGTTAATAAGATCTAAAGGTTATTTATGAGACAAGTATAATAAAGTTACATTACTAATAAATGTGGTGCACTACACTGGGCATAAAATTAACAAGTATTACTATAATACGAGTAAACTAATGTTTAGTTAAGGCAATTATCTATTGTTATATTAGCGGTCTAAAACATAGAAAATTTTATGAACGTATGTATTTATATAACATATTATATGTTGCACCTTGCTCTCAGATCAGAAAAAGTAGTGCCCTTTTTTATGGACAATCTCACAACATTATTGCGACTTAGGGCACAACATCTACCTCACAATATTTATATTTTTTATTTTCTCAGAATATCAGAAGTATTCTAATTATAAGGAAAAAAAAAGTGATGCCATTTTAAAGAAAAAAAAACTGTTGGTATGAGTTTGATGATGTAATCATCCTATATTATATATTTTTCAAAAGTGGAATAAAATTTAAATCTGTTATTATATATTAAACAGAAGAACACGTGATTTATTGTATTTTTGTCAAATAATAGGCCATATTAATGAGGAAAACATTAGCATATGAAATTTTGTTTAAAACATCAGTAACTAATTTCAGAAAATACATCTGTAATTTGCGTTTTTGAATAGAATGCCTAATTACGAAGTTATGAATATGGCAATTACAATTTAATGTCATTATTACAACTTTTATGGCATACAATTTAAAGCAAAAATAAACGCTTTTGACAAAAATGAAAATTATTATAATCCAATGTTCATAAAAAATTCTGCGTGCTCGTAATATCTAAATTAAAACTCGAGTAAAGTTAAAATGAAAAATAATTGTAGCTTTTAGAGCAATTACATGTTCCATAAACAAAAGAAAATTCTGTCATGACGAATTTCAGTACTAAATCATTATAATCCTTTAGAATTTTTTTAATTCTCTACTAATTAAAGCTTGTACCGGATGAAGATAATGCGAGTTGCGAGCTGTACCTTAAAATATATTCTCCCCATTCTTTAATTATTATTGTTGAGAGTAAAATATTACGAAATGCCTCTAAATTTAAACCCGTTATAAGTTTAAACTTTGCCTTTTAGAAGCCGTAAAGTTTAATTTCATAAATTACCTATGGGTTTTAGGCAAATGTAATTTTATTATTTAGAAATTGATATGATAAAAAATACAGACGAAATCATACTTTAAGACCACCAAATCTTGAATATTATGAAAATGATTGAAATTCGTCAAAAAAACGTGTAAGAACTCAAAAAATTTCTTGTTGTTACTTGTTAGGCTCTTCAAAATGGCTTTTTACTTCTGGCCCATATTAAAGCACAATAAAAAAATTCCTTTAGAATTATTTCAAAATTTATATTTTATCAAAAAATGGTAGCACATTAAAAATCACCAAAAAATTCTTCTCCAAATATTAAGACGAGACAGCACTCCAAACATACAGGGTGCGCCAGAACTCGCGCTCCAGAGAAAAATGCCATATAAGGAATATGAAAAAAATGTTAAAAAAAATTGTATCTATAAAAATATTGAAGTTATGAGGATTTAAATTTTGCACTTTAAAAAAATAATTTTTCAAGTTTATTTGCTATAGGCTATTAAAAGAGGAAACAAGGAAGCTGTATCCTAAATTGTAACTCTGTTCAATGTTATTTGGGGCTTTTATTTTATTGGCAAAATTTTTGTACCTTTACTAAATAATTGTAATAAAACATATACAAGATCATCAGTATCATTAAATAGACATAAAAAAATGTCAAAAAATAAATGTCAAAATTTTATGACAGAATTTTTTAAACATTCTTTCCGTGTTCCTGGTATCTTACCTTACTAGAAAATTTTCTCTGGGGCGCGAGTTCTGGCGCAACCTGTATAGCAGATACAAGTTTTTTTTTTCAAATACTGATTGGTTTATAAACTTAAATAAAGGGCAGTATCTAAAAAAATACAATAAATTTTGAATCACTTTTATAAATTTCCTATTTCCTTATAATTTAGTTTAGTTGTTGTTATTTTGAACCTTATTTTTGTTTGGAAGTTTTCTAACCACTTTCTCTGTTTCTACTGCTTCATTTTAGCAAAAAACATAGGGTTTCAAATTGAAATTATACCCCGGATGTTCAACAAAGTGTCTTATTTTGAATTTTGCAACATTTCAAATTCTAAAAAGGATTAAATGTGAGCTGTTTTTGAATTTGTACAGCTAAAATTTGTATCTATAACTCTGAATGACACATTCTTTGATAGACCGCCGGCAGCAGAAAAATTCTGTGTAACACTACAGTCAACTTATATTTATGTATTATATTAATAGTCTGAAGTTGTCACTGCTTTTCTGTATAAAGGATTTTTGATAACTAACTTTAAATTTGCTAACGAATAAAACCTTAAAAAATTGCTCTCGTATACGTATTTTGTTTCAAAAATAAATATTTTAACGTATTTATTATATTTAGCGAGGAAATCTTGACTGTGACAGACAGAGAGAGTGCTAAACTTCTAATCTGCTTCTTAATGAAAAGTTTATCAAGTTCCCCCAGTCCATGTTTGATAACACACCATAAAATAAACTGATAAAATAATAATAAAATTAATTACTCAATCACGCTAACCCACTGCTCTTAATTAAGTTGCAAAGTATTAAGTCTTTTGGATACCGGATTTTCATGCAATTCACCTCTAATTAATTCGAAACCATTAGGATAAGTATCATAACTTTCGCAATAAATTCTACCAGATTTATAAGTCGCATGAAAATAATTTTTACGACACCAGTCATAACTTGACAGACAAACAGGTTAAAGCAGAAATGAATGCAATCACACATTTATTAGTCAATAAAAAAAATCGCCATCACCTAGTCAACTGTAGGATTTTCCATATCGTTAATTTCCTTTATCGCGTGCATATAAATCCGCCCACCTGGCGATTATTGACGTCCCACCCTTAAGTAAATAGTGGTAGTATCACGAACACTTCTCGTAAAATGGGTAATTGAAAGAAAAAACGCCAGTTTCACATTCGCGTTCGAAGCGCAATCATGTGTTCTAAGCGAACCCTCGCGCTTCCAGAAGTGCAAGAAGAGGACGACGAAGAGACTGCATCTAACGGCGGTCAAAATCAACAGTCGCAATTTCAAGTAAGAACCCACGAAATAATTAATTGTAAGTGTTCGAGCTTGCTGTTGCTATAAATTTACGCAAGAGGTGTGATGCTTGCGGTGCTGGTTCTTGTAATGAATGCACTTCTCTACATCTATAGACAGTGAGGTAATTAATGATGTTGTTCAGGTGCAGATAATTGTAACGCCCATACAGGGATGTGATGGGGGCGCAGAGATACGGGTCATGGGGGGCACTCCGAGAGCCACGACTAGAAAGCTTCCTCCAATACACACGCACGGCAAGTACTTATATTTTCATTATGGTTTTGCACTTTGACTCCCTCGTTCTACGCTTAAATTAAACTATCATTTGCACTTTGGTTTTTATATTCATTCTTATTTACATTCATCGACACTATAACTAGTTTTGCGAGCTCAAGGTGAACAGTACTAAACGAACTTGGAATTCCTCTATTTTACAACTGAAATGATCTGATTTAATTAAGAAACTAATAAACTGAGTATTATGTAGACACTAAAAATAGAATCAGGTGAGAGTAATTTTTTGCTTTCTACAGGTGATTCAAAATGGTCGCATTACAATTTATCTGGTGATAAAAAAGATTACTAAAAACGCAAGTATGCTTTTCTAACTTTTTTCGTTGTGTGTTTTTATAGGAATTTTAAATGAATAGAAATCAGAAACTTAAAATATAGAGATACAGACTAGTAATTGTGAATACACAAAACCTTATACAGGGTGCGCCAGACTCGCGTCCCAGAGAAAAATGCCATGTAAGGTAAGATACCAGGAACATGGAAAAAATCTTAAAAAATCTATCTATAAAAATTTCTAACTTATGAGAGTTTACTTTTTGCACTATTTATTTCTGTTGGAAAAATAATTTTCCAAGTTACAGGCTATTAGGAGAGGAAATAAAAAACTCTTTGTACCTTTACTAAATAATTAGAAAAAAACATATACAAGATCATCAGTATCATTAAATAGACATAAAAAATGTTAAATTGCAAAAATTGAATGTCAAAATTTTTTGACAGAATTTTTTAAACATTTGCTCCTGGCATCTTATTTTACTTGAAATTTTTTTCTGGGGCGCGAGTTTTGATACACCCCGTATAGAATTTAACATTATTGGTAGAAGTTTTAACAACATTTTCAAGGTGAAATTGATTTTTTCTTATTAATTATAATAATTGTTTGTAATTCGGCAGGAATAAATTTTAATCCATTGTCTCTGTGAATGCAAGTACCTAGTGAAATTGCATTCCTGGTTCCGGGAATGTGAAGAATTAAAGAGGTTTAGTTTTTTCATAGCCAGACACTTACTTTTGAAAATTGCAAAATTTTAGTGTTATAATTAATGAAACAGATGCCAGAGGAATTTAATTTAAAATACATTTAAAACTGGTCAAAGCTGTATTGAGAGCTTTTTTAAAGCAACGTAATGCAGAATTAATTACAATACAATATGATTATTTTCAGTTAGCAAACTCTTTACCCAATAAAATTTTCTTTGGAAACGCAATTTAGTGAGAAATTTAAAAAGTAATCCAAAGTAGGATTCAAACACCAGATCTGTAAATCTCTCTACAAAAAGCAATAAATATAATGTATGAAATTTTATACAGTTTAAATCAATTGATTTTCCGATGTATTCAAAAGTAAGGACGCTGTTTTCAAAATAAAGTCCGATTTGTTGTTTGCTTTTAAAAAAATCAATAAATTTAAGAATTTACATATACAGTCTATGTTTAGGTACATACATTCATTTAATACAAAATACAACTACAAATCATACAAACTAAAATTAAAAAACTACAATAGTTATTTAATCACATGAAAACATGCAGTCCAAAATGATTAATTTTCAATAATCTCACGCCTTAAACATTTTGGAGTGTAGGTTTGCATGTTATTAATAGTATATTATGTAACTAGTATTATAAACGCCATTTTAGGCATGAGTTTTATTAGGCACGAGCGAAGCGCAGCGGAGCGAGTGTTTAATAAAACGAATGTCTAGAAAATTTTATACACGTTTTCTACGATCACCACAAAAAAAATTACTTAAATAAGAAAAAATTTGTACTTAATTTTAATTTAATATGGTATTATAGTTTACCTTTGTAAATAGGTATTCCTTGTCAGGAGCAGACGATAAGAATTCTTTACTTTGCTGTTTTCGACTATTTAGGTTTATAATCATCAGATTTACCCTTCAGTAACGCACACAATTTGGGATATTTACATTGAGTGGACTGTCCACAAAAAAGACAGTTTCATCCTTTTCGAAAGATCTTGAAAATATGCAAGCAGCACATTATTAGAATTACAGAAAGCTAACTTCAGCCCGTGACTAAAATGGCAGTTGCTATTAGCAACGTGACTAATACGCATAAAAGTCACGGCTTGTTAAGGTGTGTATAAAAGGTCACTTAGCGTCATGAAAACATATACGATAATCCGTGTTTTAAATGTGGGAGTAGAAAAAATAATTTACACAATTTTGTTTAGTTCTTGCAAATTATTACATAGGTTCATGTCGTTTTATGTATGATGTTTTTCCATTAATTAAATACAAATATAAATTAATTACTAATGATTTATTATACAAGACGATAAAATTGAATTTTATCTTTGAGAGCAATTTAGCGTTTTTTTGATGATCACGTCCTTATTTTTGAAAAATCGGTCTTATTTTTGGCGATTTTAAATGTCAAGTTGACAATCGGACTTTATTTTGAAAACAGCTGCCTTACTTTTGAATACATCGGAAAAACAGTTGATTTAATCTTTATCAAAAAGTGGGTTTTTCTCAGGTTGCTTTTTAGACTGTAAATGTAGACGTACCATACATTGAGTAAGTATTTTGTTGTAGGAGTGTTTATCATTGTCGCTGATATAATAGTATATTTAGACTTGATATTAATTTAATCTAGTTAGAACCTGCCATTCCGTTAAAATTAACTTATTCTTCTGTATTACGTATTGCCTATGGTGATATTTTCAAGCACTAATAAGTAGTAACAAAATAGTTCCTAATCTTTTTTATCTTTTTATGGTGTTTAACGGCAAACTTCTCAGCGAACATAAACCAACAACAAAATAATTGACGTTTCTAATAGTTATTTCTTTCCCAAAGGTACTTTTGAAAATATGATTTCTACAAGAATGTCGCGGGAAACAGTAATTGTATCACACGTGAGGAAAGTGTATCTTTTCTTTCCACAGGTGGAAGTTACTGCCTGATATTTGTCACCCAGGGAGGAAAGGACACTTTTCTCCAGTGTAATCATTTTTCCTACGATCCATTACAAACTAGCAATTTCTCTTGATGTCACGTCATTAATTCTAGCATCTTGTTTTTCTTTTTCGTTGAGGGAGGTAGTTGGCCACTTTCCTTTCTGTAAATTAGGATGGAAAAACTTACTTTCTGTTAGGGCCGTAAGAAAATATATTTTTGTCAATTGTGTGTTCTAGGAAATGTATGTTTTTGTAAAATTAATTTTCGTTTCATTATACATAAATGCCCATCTAATTGGCGCAATATGAGTTTAAATATAGTAAATTTACACATAATTAAATAGCCTGTCATGTGGTATTTCCTGCGTCTTGGAAGTAACCGACAGTAATCTACTTTATGCAACAAGTGCCATAATCACAACAGGTGGCACAATTCATCGTTTTTTCCCGTCATTCGTATTCGTTTATTTTACTTTATACGTTATACTGTTATAAAATCTTTACTATATCATGCGCATGCCGATTCAACTACGATCTCATTGAAAATCGTGAATAAACCGTAATTTTTATTACGTAACCACTTGCGTGTACCGGTTTGAATTTTATTTTTATCATCTTTTTAAATACAAACTCTTCGTAAATTTTAAAATAAGAAATAAAATGATGTATATACCGGTTTGTTTCAGGAATGTTGTTTTTTAAATGCACAGATGCTATATTACCATCAGTAAATTGCAAAACGTTCTTCTTGATTAGGAATTGTGAGTTTTGTTAACAATTGTGATGCAGTAAGAAGTTTGAGTTCAATCAAGTGGTTGTTCGTTTGCAATATGCTTTAATCTCAAAACACATTTTACTGTAAATAGCATTAAGTAGGTATCTTTTACAGACTGTTTCAAATAATACTTGCACTTAAATTGCGAGCTTTGTTCCAAATTTGTTGATATTTTTAAATTAAAGTCAATACAAAACACTCATGTATTTATTAATACAAACGTATATTATGAATTTATATTCATATACAGGCTGCGAAAGAAATCGCGCCCCAGAGAAAAATGTCATGTAAGGTACGATACCAGGAACATGGAAAAAATGTTACAAAAATCCCAATCTTGACATTTATTTTTTGACATTTGACATTTTTTATGTCAATTTAATGATACTGATGATCTTGTATATGTTTTTTCTTTAATAATGGTACAAAAATTGTTTCAATAAAAACC